AAGAGCGGCCCTGTTTTGTTCCAAAGCAGTATAAAGAGAAGACAGATCTCTGCTCACAGCAGGGCTAAAGCCATCTTGGAAATAGCTGTTTCCTGGATTGCCTGTGACAGGTAAGGAACTCCCTTTGTGAAGAGAAGCGTTTCGTAAATTGGAAAATAAGTTTTTTTCCTTTCATCCCGTAAACTGCTGACAGGTAGGAGCGAGGGTCCAGTAGCACTTTAAAGACTTAGCAAAATCTGTGTGCAAGGCATGAGCTCTCGTGAGTCACGAAAGGTCGTACCCTGCCACAAGTTTTGTTAGTCTTTAAGGTGCTACTGGACTCTTGATCTTTTCTACTGCGACAGACAGACTAACACGGCTACCCGTCTTGATCGCTCATTAAAAATAAGTCTTTCCCAGCTGCATTACTTCCCTTTTTGGGAGGATAGGGTTTTGGGTTTTTTTGCACTTCTGTCTAAAAAGGATCTGCAAATCTCTTTATTGCCAGTGTGCAGAAAGATGTGTCCCTTATTAAAAATGACATTTTAGCGCATAATCTTCAATGGCTGTATGTGCTGGATGTGTAAGTACTAAGGTAGGTATCTGAGTGAGACTTTGAGGATAAATTCCTTATTCTGACAGTCTCTTAAGGGCTAAGCTCCGCCCTGGGAATTGGCTGTTATAATACCTCAGCAGCGAAGAAGATAAACCTATAATCTTTTGTTACTTCAATGGACGGACACATATTTGGGGGTGCCTGTGGGTTCAGAGCCCTAATAAGTGGGTTAGCACAAGCTTTTAGTATTTTGTATGGAACTTGGGAGTAGGAGATAAACCCTACAGTGTAGTTGTCGGGACTCTGCTCCTTTCTGTCCGGTTCCTCTGCCTCCCCCTCCACCCTCTCGAGCTTTCCTCAGGCCTCAGAGCTTCAGTTTAGGGAGGGGAGGGGGGTTACAGCACCCACAGCCTTCTCCTCCCAGTCCTCGTTGCTAAGGCTTCCCTACTCACGAGGATGCTATCTGGTCGGAATGTTTGTTCTTTTGTACCTTCGTCAGAGTGGGCCTTTTGCTCCTGCCGGGGCTCTACACAGATTCATCTGAGCTTCACGTTTCATCATCTTTAATTGATCCCAAAGCTGTTGGACATGGTTGCTGGGGCCCGGACTGGCTCCATCTGCTAAAGTTGGCTCATTCACCCACTGTTTGGTGTAGTGGTTAAGTGCGTGGACTCTAATCTGGGAGAACTGGGTTTGATTCCCCATTCCTCCATATGCAGCTGCTGGATGACCTTGGGCAAGCCATAGTTCTGTCAGAGCTGTCCTTGAAAGGGCAGTTCTCTCAGAGCTCTCTCAGCCCCACCTACCTCACAGGGAGCCTGTTGTGGGGAGGGGAAGGAATCTGCTGTGAGACTCCGAGTGAAGGGTGGGGTATAAATCCACTCTCTTCTTCTCCTTCTCCTCGTCCTCCTCCTCCTTCCGTCAGGCTCAGGAGACCCCGGGGTTTGTGCCCAAACACCAGTTCAAAGGGGGGGTGATCCCGGTGGACGCTTGTGGAGTCTTTCTAATGGCAAACAGTATGGGATCTATGTAACAGGTCCCAGGCCAAAGGATAGTTGTGCGCCAGCCTTTGCTCTCTGGCTTTTATGGTGTGATTCATCCTTTCTATGAGGCCGTAGGTTTGTGGATGGTGTACGGCCATGAATATCTGTTGGATCTGCAAGGTCCGACATCCCTGCCCCAGTAGTGTTGCCGCGAAGGGTGGGCCCCGATCCATTAGGACTTCCTAATGGAGCCAGTTTGGTGTAGTGGTGAAGTGCGCGGACTCTAATCTGGGAGAACCGGGTTTGATCCCCCACTCCTCCACTTGTACCTGGCTGGATGACCTTGGGCAAGCCGTAGTTCTGATAAGAGCTGTTCTTGAAAAAGAGCAGTTTCGGTCAAGAGCTGTTGTGGGGAGGGGAAGGGAAAGGAGTTTGTAGGCCGCTCTGAGACACCTTTGGGTAGTGAAGGGCGGGGTATAATTCCAATCTCTTCCTCTTCTTCTTCTTCCCGTGGGAGTCCCACATGGGCGAAAAACCGCATTAGGGCCCCGGTGACCGATGCACCTCAGGTTACCGGGCTGTGTAATTGACTATTACCAGTAAATACCGGGTTCCTTGGGGAGATCTGGGAAGGCCCCCCCACAGAGTCCATGGCCGCTCTCTTGAATGGGGTTTGGATAATCGGCAAGGGAGAGAGAGGGGCTCGGGGCGCAGGCCAAGTAGAGGCGTTCTGACACCCCTCACAGGTCTCGCGAAACTGTCATGCGTCTTCGGACCCCGTGGGCCAAACGAAGTGAGCTAAAATCCACTGCAGGATGCC